GGTGCAAACAAATGCATGGTTTTCAACTGTATTTCACAAGTAAGAGTGAATTGGTGCAGAGCTGGAATCTAAAAGTCAATAATTCAAAATTCTTATTTATCTCTGTAGTCCTATTGCTCAAGAATCACCTGTTCTGTGTTTTAGCTTTCCCAGCTGTCAAGGACTGAAATGGCTCTGTTGCTTATGGGTATAAAATAAGCGGTAGGACAAGCATACAGTATGCTAAAAGTTCAAGTCTATGAAGACTATAGTTTAAAAAGAAGTACATTAAAATAAAATGTTTAATGTATGGGGAATCCCAATCAGTTTAATTTGAGCTACTACATTTGCTTTCTTAGATTCTTTTCTTTTAGGGTAATTCTCAAAGAAAAAAGCAAATATTGTAGGAGTTGCTGGTAAGAAAGAAGCTAAGTGCTTCTTTGCCATCAGGGAGACCTCAGTCTCACTGTCCTTTCTGTGATTTGTGTCTGTGTGCCTGAAGCAAGTTATGTAATCACAACGCACTTTAATTTTCTCTTTAGTAAACTGGAGCTCAAAGTAGTAATAAAAGGTGACTATAAGGATTAATTAGGAAATACATGCTTGATGAAACCACCTTGGAACACAGTACCTGGTACATCATAGGACCTCAAAAAATGTTAGACCTTACTTTTGGTTTTGCTGTTTTGCTTACAGCTTTAAGCAAAATAACTGAAATGCTCCTTGGGGGAAAGAGAAACACAAAAGAAGGCAGGTGGGGAAATAACTCAGGGAGAGGCAGAATATTATTCTCTCATTCCTTAAAGAGTATTATGTTTTAATAGCTGGGTGTGAGAAGAAGTGGCTCTATTTTTATCTTAGCTCAATTCTTCGTTTCTGCTTGAGATTGCTGGAGAAATCATCAATCTACCATGGCAGTTGTAGATGTGAAGTTTTTTCTTCTCCTTTTTATTTCTCTATTTTCACTTTTTCCTTTCTTGCAGATAAAATAAGGCAGGTTTAGGGAACGTTTTAATGTCTTTCTTTTGCTTCTGTGAGCTTCTTTCAAAAAGCTGATATAGCTGAGTTAAAACTTGACACCTAGGCATTAACTGCTAGAGTATCAGAAGAATCCACATCTGCTTATCTGAAAACAACTGCTTAGTCTGAATCTTCCATTTTTGGAAGAAAGTCTGGGTAACACAGACATAGTTTTGAAACTTTTATTCTTTTCTTGTAGCCAAAGTATCTTGAAAAATAAATTGGCATCAAAAGAAAAGGTGCTAAAACATCCATGAAATTTAAGGAGCCCTTAGTAACCACTCTTAAAATTTAGTCTGGTGCTTTTGAATGAGTCTGCCCTAAAGCAGATTCATGATTCTTTGATAAGAATTAATCATTGCCTTTTTAATAATTAGTTCCAAAGGCAGGTACAGTCTTTGACTTGCAGTGTTATACTAATATCTGTTTTCATGCATGATACCACTTCACAGCTTCTCTCCCACTCCCAGAGTTCAACATTCCAAAAATACTTGTTGAAACGCATTCATCAAAAAGAGTTCCTACTCTAGACTAGAAACCAAGTGTTACGTGATTACCAACATTTTTACTTTAATATATTTAGTTTTTCTGAACTTTCCTCCACTGGCCTTTGTATAACTTTACACTGTCCTTGAGATACTCGTTGACGGTGATGTTTATTAAAAAGCCTCTATGTCTCCATATCTGCTGCTCTGTTATACCCTAAAAAATTGTTTGAGAGTTGGTACTAAGTTGGATATTTCACTGAAAGTGGAATTGTTTGCCTTAGGGAGACTTCACATATTTAGTAACCTTTCCTGTCTTTGAGACTGAATTTCAATGAGAACTCAGCTCATTTCAAGTTAAACAGCTGATGCACTTTGGGATCATGCACAAGATCTTGGTATTTCAATGCTCAAATTTTCCAAATGATTTCTGCCCTTGATGAATATTTAATGCTGATTCTTTTAAAAGAGAATTTCCTTTATGATTGAAAGGCAGAATATCATCTGAATAGCCAATGTCCTAGACAAAAGGGGTGTCTGACCATAAATATAAAATAACCCAGGAGGAAGTAAGAGCAGATCAATCTATTCTAATAATGCAGATCAATCTATTCTAATAATGCCTTGCTCATAATTTCCTAAGGATGGAAAGTCTAATATCTACTTTCATTTTATTAGAGATAGGAGATGGGTTCCATCTGTTTCAATCCTTGTTCTAATATGCAACTTCATGCTTGATAGAGAAACACTTGAGGAAAGCAAAACTGTGATTCAAGAATCTTACTTCAATCAATAGAGTTTTGCAATTATTTTTCCCAGAACAAATTAGAGCAGACACATCATTTTGAAGACTGGCCCGCACTGTCTGTAATTTAAGAGAAAGAACACAAAAGGCAGTGTCTGGGCCCAAGATCCAGTGGGTAAGGAGCCCGCTCAGTGGGGTGCCTTCTGATGTATTTGCCCAACTACTTGCTACATGCAAGTGTTTCCTCATGCAGAGGTGGGAAAATTTTAGTAGTTCTGGTGTTTTAGAAATTTACTTCAATGTGTATTACTTCAAATGTGCATAGATTAAAAAATGACCTTGAAGGCTACCATTGGTCAGAAAGGCTTGTCAAGATAATTATTCAGCTGACTTCTGGGTTCTCTCAGGTCCATGTGTAGACGTTATCTAGGAAAGTTACTAAGGTTTGTTTATTTGTTCTCCTGACAGGCTGAGGGACAATAAATCAGTTCTGAAAGCTTGGTCGCCATCCTGAGATTTAGAATATTTGTCTTCTTGGTCCTCAAGTAATTTTGCATGAGCAGTGTTCTCAGATTAGAGCAAAGGAAATATTTCTCTTTTAGAAACCAATACTGCTTTCCTGTGCAGCTGGGGGCCCCTTGCTGGTCTGCCTTCCTGTGGGGGCCAATTTGAACCATGTTGCAAGATCAAACTGTCATTTCTCCTGATAACAGATTTTGCCAAGTATGTTTTCCCACTTTTCCATGAATTCCTGGGGAGTTCCTGGTTGCCACCTTCTCTTTCCTCCCTGTGGCAATAAACATTTAGCCATGTTTTATTCCTAGGTGAGAAGCTAAAGTTGCAGAAATAAAGATACTGGCTCCTGCAGTGTGACAAGCAGTTGTCTTCCCTTTTAGTCTTGAAAAATGTATCTTTTTTTTTTCCTGAGCACATGCCATTGCATAAGCAATTTCCAGTAGCATGAGGCCCGTGGGCTCATTTAATCATTCTGCTAGAGAATGCCCAAGATCACTAAAAGTCATTACCACACATGCATTGCTGCAGTGACAGTATAGCTAAAACAGCCTTCCACTGAATAAAAGCTATCAGGTATGTTTCATTTGGTTTTGATAAAGATAATCCATCCCATTCTTTTTCCATTTCATCTCTCCCAATGAATAAATTCAATTAATCCATTTAGTCTTCCTGGTTGACTGCTGTTTTACCAAATTAGAATAAGCAAGGTTTATTGCAAATACTCTTTTGATTGTATCATGGCTATCTGCCCTATTTTACCAGTGTAAAAATAGTTTGGGATTCATTAACCATGCCTCACAAATGGATACTCCAACTAGAGTGAGGAATACAAAAGAGCTGATATTAGAATTGATACTTCTTTTTATTAAAGAATTTTCCTATTGTTTTATGAATTTTAGGGCCTGTCTTTAAATACGACAATTTCTGAAAATTATACACCCATATGGTTACATGTTTTTAAGAGCCATATATATGTAGCTAAAATGTAGAAATCAAATGTGACTTAGAGGCACCACAACCACTACTAATGAAAATTTTATGCAGATCATTTTTTGTATATTAGAAATTGCTCTGATTTGCTTTAAGTGATTCAATCTTTTATGATTTCTTGGAAGCATTTACTTGGAAACACTCTTCTCACTTCCCAGACCATGAAGAGAATCTGACCTGGGAGGGAAAGTGAGTACCTGGATGATTTCCTGGCAGTTTATATGCAGCATCTCACTCCTTACTACTTCCTGGCGAGCTACAGTCACACTGCAACCAAGAAGATCCTGGTCTAGGGAAAGACAGTGGACTTTGCGAAAGGAGTGTGTCAGCAAAGGGATTAATTTAACTTAAAGCAGGGTCACCACTTACCTCTTCCACCAGCTGCAACATACGACGGGTGCTTTCCAGTGACTAAGATAAAAAATATATATATATTGTAAGTGCAGGATCCAGACTTTTGGGAAAATCAGAAATACTTTCTCCCCTTAAGAAGTACAAAAAGTTAGCCCTCCCTGGTGGCGCCACGGGTTAAAACACAGCACTGAGAATCTAAAGCCTCTTTCGCATGAGTTCGTTCCCCGCCTGTCACGGAGGTGACCACACCCGCCCGCTGCTCCCCTCAGCAGTGTACTTCGTTGATCTGCCTGTTCTGCTCCCCACTCTGTCTCTGGTGAAGCCTCTTGCCCCCACTGAGCCTCTGGTCTGTACCCCAGTTCTGTATGTACAAATAAATCAATCTTGAAAAAAAAAAAAAGTACAAAAAGTTGCTATCACATACTCTTAAGTTTGTTACTGAAACAAAAAAAGTCTTCCCATTTTCCATCACTTACTATCAGACCTCACTTACTATCAGACTCGCTACAAAGTAAGATTCCCTAAAGCAATTAAATATCAACTGAGCTTCAAAAAATCAAAACCATATGAAGCTGATCTTGATATCAAAGAAAAAGTAATCTGGAAAAGATAATTTTGCATGGGCAGGATGCATAAAAATTATCTCGAATGCTCAGTGGACTAATTTGGCCTCCTTGGGCCAAGAATATTGAATTTTAAACACAAACATAATTTTTCATGAATTAAGATGAATCTAACATCGAGTTTCCTATAAAGCTCCTAGGAACACAATTGAAAGTTCTTATCAATACAAATGAAGCTGTTGCCTTAGGGTGGAAAAAAAATCAAGCATGTTTGAAATAAGTAACCTGTAGAACACAGCTATAAAAACGGTCTTAATTTGTAGATAAGAAAAAGGAGAGGGAAAGTCTGAATTCAGATTAGGGCGCCCAGCAACAACACGTCACTTTTTTCTGTTCCTTTGAAACTACTAGAATCCAACAACCAGTGTCATTTCACTATGCTGCACTTTTAAATGACAGCTTACTTTGGACAAGATTCTACAGAACATGAAGAAAGCTAATTTTCTTGGGAGAGCTGTCGGCAGGCTATTATTTAAAATGAAGGCTTATAAGCAGTGGTGTGCTAGTACATGTTTATTAAAAACTGGCTCATAGAAAAAATATGCATATGTATCTATAACTGTATATGTACTTAAGCTTGTTATTTTGCTGACATAAAAGATAAATAGGGCCCTCCCTGGTGGCGCAGCGGGTTAAAGCACAGCACTGAGAAGCTAAAGCCACTTCCTCATGAGTTCGATTCCCGCCTGCCCGGGAGGAGACCACATGGCGTGGCAGACCTCTCCTGACCCGCCCGCTGCTCCCCTCAGCAGTGTACTTTGTCGATCTGCCTGTTCTGTTCCCCACTCTGTCTCTGGTGAAGCCTCTCACCGCCCCTGAGCCTCTGGCCTGTACCCCAGTTCTGTATGCACAAATAAATAAATCTTTAAAAAAAAAAGATAGTTATACATTCCATCTAGCCAATTGATTCTTACAGAAAGCTTTTGTTGATTTTTGTTAAACTCTATGTCCAGAACTATAAACATGCATATGGCAATGACAGTTCTGGCATGGATGGTAGTTGATATTTTCATTTACATTAGTGAATATAAAGGAAAGTGAAACAATGAAACCCTGCATTGGACTTCACTCATTTGTCAAATCATATAAGTGACTTTGCTCAACAGAATCAGAAATTTCAAACACTAGAAAGCTTCCTTAATTTATAATGCGTGTCATTTATAATGTAATGGCTACAGACATTTTCATGTTTGATCCGCATTATTAATATTTTTTTTCCACTTAGACAATGAATGAAACAGTAAGTCTAGCCTTGATTTGTGGTATTCGCAGATTCCTGGGTTATAAACATTCCATCATCATGGTGTCATTTGCCCAAGGTGAACTTGGGCAAATTTGCAGAAAACACCATTCTAGAGTCTTCTCACACTCCAGTTACAGCACATGTCAAGAATGATGAGAGCACAGATACTAGTAAAATATACTTAAAGAATTAGGAAGTGTTGACATTTAACTACTACCTTTGATTTGAGTATAATTGATGTAATTCTAAGTTTATATAATTCTACTTTCATACCAACTGGCAGAGTTCAAGAAACTGTAATAATCAGCTCTCAGAAGTGAGGCAGCATCAGCACCCTATGATATGTGATCGCTTTTGTTATAAGAACTTCATTTTTCTAGATTTCTGGAAATCGGAGTTTGGGCCAGGACACTAATTTATATATAAGCTTTATCAGTGTCCTTTCCTGTCTGTAGAGATGTATAGAAAATCACCTCTGCTACTTATTTTTAAATTTAGACTTTTGAAGAAACCCTTTTCTCACTTGAACTTGAATAAGACAAATTACCTAGTTCTCCCCATCTTTTGCCCAGTCCCCCAAATTTCCATTCTTTACCTCATCAGCCAGCTGGTCAGCCCTTCGCTGCATCTCCTCCAGCTCATTGCGCATGTCTGCATCTTCTGCCATGGTAGCGGTGGGGGTTGGCTGGACGCCTGGGGTGGGGACTCAGTAATGGGTTTGGCCACCGAACCTGAAAGGAAGTAGAATTGGACACTTTAGAGCTTTGTGGATGTGTTTACATGAATAGAGGAAGCTCTAGGTGTTCCAGGCTCTGTCTTTATGAATCAGTCACCCGAGCTGGAACCCATACCCAGAATAGCAGAACTATGCCATTTGTTCAGAAGGCACTAGTCATACACACCTGCCAACTTTACCATAGAAACAGATACCTATGTGCTTGTGAAGTATTATTATTGAGGTAACATTGGTTTATAGCACTGTATATGATTTAGAGATATAGATCATTCCCTTCAAGTATATGCTGTCAACATAATCCAGTGACGCCCCTCCCACTTTATTCTCCTTCTTCTTCCTATGAAGTATTTTTTAAGATATAAACCATCAAAAGTTTGGGATGACAGGATGTAGGGATGTGATTTTGGGTTACTATACTTTTCACTTCTCATTTAAAATTTATTTTATATTTTAAACAGCTTTATTAAGGTATAATTGACTTACACTAAACTCTCCATATTTAAAATACACAATTTGAGAAGTTTTGACATATGTATACATCCAGGAAACCATAACCACAATAACAAAAGGGATTTCCTCATGGATTTTGTAGCCTTGCCTTCTCACCAATCCCACTTCCAATCTTCATGCTGAGACAACCACTTACATTCTGTCACTATAAACTAGTTTACATTTTTTAGAAATTTGTATACACGGAATGTACTATTTTTGCCAGAATTTTTCACTTAGCATAATTGCTTTGAAAGACATTCATGTTACAGTATGTCTCAAAAAGTCATTCCTTTTTAATAGCTGAGTAGTATTCCATTGTGTTTAGAGACATTTAGAGACAAAAGGCAGGGAAATCTTCATTATCCTTCTGTTGTTCTCAGAGGTTATCAAGAGCACTTATGTAGGTGTGAACACTTATTTTTCCAAAGAGGAAAGTGTCCTTAGCCCTGATGTGTGGCCAGCCTATTTCTTGATTACTCACATAGAATACCATATACTGCAATTTACAGTTATCCTGACTGAGCTGCCTCCCAAGCCAACTAACCCCCTATCTCCCCCCTTCTTTCCCCTCAAATGTTTATGGAGTCCTTATAACATAGTAGGGCCATGTTAGACACCCAGGACATAGTGCTAAAACAAATGGGCAAATTTACTCCCATCATAAAAACTACAGTTTTGTGGGGATTTGAGAGTGACACAAGAAATTATGTTATTCAATGATATTCAATTTTGCAGAAAAGGACTTAAAAAAAAGAAATTATGTTATTTAGTGTGATGATAATTGTAGCAGGGAACATACTGTGGATCATAGCATGCTTTCCTGAGGATGTCATATCCCTGGGAATGGTCATCAGAGGGAAGTGGGTAAAGGGGCCGAGGAAGGGCTAGAGATGACAAGTATTTGATAGGCTGAAATCTGTGAATAGCACAGTTGTTGAAGGCAGAGGCTCTTGCTTTGTGGCTCAGATGGCAACTGGGATGCTCTCTGGGCAATGGCTGCCCAACAGGGACTTATACTTCCAGTCTCCATTGAAAGGACTCTGTGGCTAGAAATGTCTTGTTTCATAAGTTGCAGTGGAAGTGATAAATGTCTCTGCCAGACAAGTCAACTCAGAAGCAGACATTCCTTTCATGTCCTCTCTTACCCTTTATGCCTGCAAACACAGGGCCCTACAGGATCACCAAGCACAAGCAAGAACTTGGGCCTGCATGGAGCAAAGTTGACAGGTGACCAGAAAACCCTGCAACCTTACATGTGATTATAGGCACTTCTGTTATGCTGCACTACCAAAAAGGTGAGGGCTTTGCTTTCCTTTGGTATAGCAGCTGGTGTTACACCGAAGGCCTGAGGGAACTCAAAATGGAGTAGAAGCATTGCATAAGGGTATGATTGTTTTCGTCAAAATATCCTTGCAGTTATCTATTGAGAATTGAAACTAGGAGAGGAAATTACATTTAGGGCTTGGGACAAAAAATACCATAGCATTACTATTATTATTAGTTGTTGTTATTTGCATTAGAAGCCCTTTTATATAAATTAAATGAAAACTCCTCCTCAAAATTCTCAGGAGCATATTCTTGGAAAGGCAGGGGAACGCAAATTCACAGAAGCAGGCCCTGGATGTGAGCTCAGCCTCCTATGCTGTGTTGACATCTATGAATGACTTTCTCTGGTATTTTAATTTAGAACACATCATTAGACTCTTTCATATTTATCACTCTTGAGAAGTAACTCAGGCTATTCAGGGTTCCTAGGTAGGAGGAATCCTGAAGTGAAATTTCTTTAGAGATAATAGATTTCGCAGTTCTTTTCTACCCCGTGATTCATGGGTAAAGTGTCAAATATAAATTTTACAAAAATCATAGTAAAAAAAAAAAAAGAAGAAAACTGTAGATTTATCATTTCTACTGGCAACATTAGAAAAAGTTTGCAAGCTGAGTTTAGTTTTAAAGGCAATCACTTAAAAAATCAACATGACATGTGTCTGATCATTTTTGAGTGTCTATTCTGACCACCAGAATATGTACTAAGATGTTATCCAGGTTTCATGCATGTGTTTTCCTTAAACACAGAGCTCCATTTTAGAATTGAGGGATCTAGGAAACAGAAATTGGAAGGAATTTATACCAAGTCATTCCCGAGTGTTATACCAAGTCATTCCAGTGTTTCCCAGAGCCAGGCATCTTCTGTCCAGAATAAAACAATGGAGAAAGGAAACAGTCTGTTGTGAGCCATTGCTAGGTGGACTTTGGTATCAGAAGTCCCAACTTGGTCAGTTGGTTCTGGAACTTAGTACCTGGGTGGTTGTAGGTAAGTTTATCACTGACTCTCGGAACCTCAGTTTTCTCACCAGGGTAAATATTACCAATGTCACTGGCTTGTTAAGCGAAACTATAGAAAGATGTAAGTAACCTTGTTTATAAGGTCTTGTATATAAGGTCTTAATATTCAGAAAATTTTGTTCTTTCAGCATAAACCTATATCTGCAGGGAGTGAACAGACCCAGTATTTGTTAATTAGCCCTCCCTTGCTAACAGCTGGGCAGAAGGCCTGTTGCTGTGGTGCTGAGCACCCATGGCAGCCTGAAACCAGGAAACCAGCAGATGGCCCAAACCTCCTGTCTCTAGGCAGTGCCTCTCACAGGACTGCCATGTGGAGACAAACAAGAGCGCCTTCTAGCTCCACCTTTGTATGGGGCTGCTGGTTCCTTAAGCAACTAATCTTTGCTTTTAATAGGTCAGCTCTCTAAAGGCAGGGGTCTTGCGTGCTTTCAAGACTTCTGCAACTTCCCTCTCCTCTGGTCTGTTTGCTGATGGATGTGCTTCTCTCTCTCTCTTTCTCCTTTCTTGTCTCCTATGTGTTTCCTTGTCAAGCTCCCCTCAGAGTTTCTATTCTCAGTACCCAAGACAGATCTAGAGCCCCCTGGCTTCCAGCTGATGGCCACCTATAAAGATATGGGTCCTGGACAGCTGGCACAAGGGCAGAGAACTCATGGGGTTGGATACTCTTGTTTTCATGATTTTCACCCCCCCCCCGAAGTTCCCACGCTTCTGCTCTGAAATATGGGGCCATGCCTATGATTTGGATGAATTTGACAGATTCATCAGCACAGCATTTCAAAGCTGAAAGGGACATGACTACTCTATTTGTAAGAGTATTTGTAAGACTTGCAGGGAGGGTAAGACGAGGTGTTCCTTCACATGCTCTGATGGGACATTGACTGAATTATCCCCACAAACCCTAAACCCAAACATATTATCATTCTAAAAGACATTACCAGAAAAGGTACAATGATGTTGATAACGGTAATTTCAGTAGTGCAATGGCTGTTAATAGTGAAATGGCATTTATTATCTAGATGGCATGTAACACTTCACTTAGCACATTAAACCTGTCTGTTGCTGAGCTAGTTGTGTGATCCCTGAGCAATGCCTGTTTCACAACTGAAATTAGAAGCAGAACCACTCAAACAGTTTCCCTGAGTGGTAGATAATCTCCTAGTCCACTTAAGACCCAAGGGTATCCTATTCATTATTTTAATTCATCAGTGTTAGTTACTGTGTCTGACCCCATAGGAAGTATTCAATACTAGTTAGTTGACTTCCACAATGAAAGAATGAATGAATGAGCTGTTCCAACAACCACAGATGACTTTTAATATACCCAAGTCAGCAATTTTCCAGGTGTGGTCTAGGACAGCATCTAGCATTTCAATAGGCTGCAGAGTCACTGGAAATCCTGTGAACATAGATGGCAGTTCCCACTGGCAGGAATCAGGAATTCTAAGTTGGGCAGTCTGATGTGGGGTCCCAGAGTCTCATTTCTCATTACACCCAGGGGATGGTCTACAGGCAGCACTTTGAGTAGCTCTGACCTATAGGACACTCTCTCTGCGATGTTGAGTGTCATCAGGCAGGATGGGGGTAAGGGTTTGTCACCATACATCGTGACAAAATTGTGGGCTCCACTGGGGCCTCAGTAAACTGGCCAAATCCAGCTTCCGGTCTGTTTTTGTATTGGCCATGAGCAAGGGATGACTTTTACATTATTCAATGGTTCAAAAGACTCAAAGAAGAAGTATACTTTGTACATGTGAAGCCTGAACAAAAATCTAGTACTCTGTATAGTGAAAACTGTACAAAATTCAAGTTTCAGGGTCCATTAAGTTTTACTGGAACACACACACTCACCTATTGCTTCCCTACTGTGAGTGACTCCTTTCAGGATACAGTCACAGAACAAAGTGGTTACAGGAGACCACATGGCCTGCCAAGGGGAAAATAATTACTGTCCTATGTGGGAAACTTTTGCTGATCCCTGCGCTATATAAGTTTGAACAGAAAAGCAGCATTCCACATCTTTCATAGCCACAGGCCATTGCACAGTTCCTATCCACACTCAGAGTGTCGGGAAGTCCTCTTTTCTGTCTATATTTGTCTACAGCATTTCCTTTTCATGGCACTTCCCATAATGAAGTATGTTTTTCCTGGGCCCTAACTTTT